GAGGACAGAAGAGGGCATTGGATCCCCTGGAACTGGAGTTACAGATGGTTGTTAGCTGCCATGCGGATACTGGGTTTCAAACCCGGGTCTTCTACAAGAGCAGCCAGTGCTCTTAACTGCTGAGCCATCTCTCCAGCCCCTTTAACCCTTTCTTGATAGCTTACAATACTTAGCACACACAAATGCTGTATATACACAAAATGCTCACAAAAGTGAGGCTGTGTTTAATGTAGATACACTTGTCATTATGTATATTCCAAGGTTGGTAGAATATACACTCAGATGCTCTAGGTACAGAGGACCAACTGCATGCAGTTTGGGTTAATAGAAACTCATTATCCTTACCTCCACAGAATAAACGTAAAATAACTGTCTAAAAATTATCTTGTCTGAAGAGAAACCAAGCTATTTTTCAGCACACAGTGCCCACCATCCCTACCTCAAGACCTTCAGGCTCTCCTCACCTTTGGAAGCACCAGGCCACGCCTGACCCTTTCTGGCATCAGCCTTTACAACTCTGAAGTCAGTGGGCAAGTCTTTGCCTCTCCTTCTTTCTCTTTTCACTTGTGGATTTTAATAGTTTTTAAATTGGTTTTATTGTGATATAATTAACGTGTCACCCATACACCCACTTAAACGTACAATTCTATAATGGTTAGGATATTGACAGGGTGTGTAACCATCTCCATAATCTAATTTCAGAACATTCCTGTCACCCCCAAAAGAAACTCTGAATCCATTAACAGTGACTCCCAATTTTTCTGCCTCCACCCTATCCTTAATCCCAGCCTATGATAATGTAGTTTCCGTCTCTATGAATTTACCTATTGTGGACATTTCACATAAATGGAATTATACAAATATGGCCTTTTGTGACCAATTTCCTTTACCCAACCCAATATTTTCAAGGACAACCCATGTTGTGAAATATATTGGTACTTCATGCCTTTTCAGTGCTGAATAATATTCCATGCTTGGAAATCAGATTTTATTATTCTACTCATCAGGAATGGAGAAGAGCTAGTTGGGAGCTAGTCACAGGCAGAGTATGCCCCCAGGCCACTGTGTACCACCCTGCCCACATGGCACAGTCCAGTTTCTTTAAATGTATTCCAAGCAAAGTCTCCATGTTGACTCCTAGGCTGGTCTGAGAGCTGATATGGGTCTAATTTTCAAATTATAATTTATGGGGCCCAGAGATTGTCACTGTCAAGAGTCCAAAAAGGCAGGAACATCTTGTGTTAGCCTCTGGAACTCCAGAACCTTAGCCTCACTTTTTCACCAAAGTCATTCTACATAAACAGGTCTGTGAGAATCAACGTGATATCCACTCGGCAGGCTCAGCTCTAAGCAGTGTTCGGCCCTGCAGCCTCTCTGTCTCCTGTGACCTTTCTCTTCAGTTTAGGAGTCTCCTGCTCCTTCACGGGTCTCACACCTGGTCACTACTTACAGGATCCCCTCCTTCAGTGGGTGATAACCTAACAGAACACATCCATGTTCACCTGGATGTCAGTCATTCTGAATGCTAAGCCCCCATACTACCCGAGGCTCCCGCTGAACAGCAGCAGACTTCCTGTGAAGGGAGCTACCTTCAGCAGCTTCCACGACAGATGCTTCTAAGGTGGGGCAGGGCCCTAAATGCAATAACTGGCCCTGCTTGCGGTCCTTTGGGTTCCAGGCTTCTTTATAAGCATTGTTCTTCTGGATCTTTGTTTGTTTTTTGTTTTTTGGAGACAGGGTCTCTCTGTAGCCCTAGCTGGCCTGAAACTCACTACGTAGACCAGGCTGGCCTTGAACTCACAGAGATACACCTGCTTCTGCCTCCCGAGTGCTGGGATTAAAGGCACGCGACACTACACTGGATCTTTTTTCATATTTTTTATTTATTATTTTTATTTTATGTGTATGCATGTATTGCCTGCAGTAGGTAAGTGCACCCGTGTTGTGCAATGCCCGCAGAGGTCAGAAGAGGTGGTTGGATCCATTGGAACTGGAGTTATGGACAGTTGTTAGCTGCCATGTGGGTGCTACGATTCAAATCTTTGATGGAGTCTGACCCAGGGCGCCTGGGAACAGTCCCATTTACTTTCTGGAGGTGCCCTGCCCTGCTTCTGAGGTCTTCCAGCTCCAATCTCCTTGCTATTCCCACTTTAGACACCAGAGGATGCCAGGCACCACCAGTTGAAGATGAAGGATTTGTACCTATGTAACATGGATGCTCACTGAAGTAGTTGGATAGCCGGTGAAAGGATGCCAGCTTCACCAGACTTCATTCTTCTAGAATGCATTGTCTTAGGGATATATTATTCTTACAAGTAGATTCTTGTCATATTTATAAAATGCATATTCCTACATATAAAAAATACTCATGCATACACTTTCCTAAGCCTCCACAGTCTCCCTTGCCCCTCTGTCTTTAGCAACAACAGCAGGAAAATAGGGCAAAGTTTTGGTATACAGTCCTCAAAATTATTAGTTAAGAAAATGAAAATGGGTGCAGTTATGTTAAATCGGTGGTTCAACCTATGGGTCTGCAGATGATCTGGTCCCAGGCCAATGGGGCTGGGGTGCGGGGAGCAGTGTGGCAGTATGTTGGGGAGCACCATGACGCAGACCAGTGCCTGGTCTCTGGAGCATCGAGTCACTAGCTGTTGCCCACTGCACTCAGGGTTGCTCTGTGAACAGAGAGGGACACAATCCAAAAGTCAAGGCCCAATGGCAATCAATGATATTCTGAGATCCACAGGACAAGGAGGGTCAAGTGGGGCCCCTAGACTTGGAAAGGAACCTTGTATCTAGGACCTGGGCCTGAAGCAAGATGGAAAGAGACTTGTGGGTTGCAGGCAGAGAAGGGCTGCACAAGCCAGTAGAGTGGGTGACAGTGTCTGTCAGAAGAGTTGGAAGCATAGAAGGATCCCTGTGCTGGCCAAGGCCCAGCCCGGATGGGTCTTGAGTAAACACTGAGCAGGGAAGGCCTGAGGGGGTAGATGGCATGTGCAGAATGAGCCTCTCTGGAGGAGGGTGCCTCAAGGCCTCAGAAACCACAGTGGACCTTCCTGAAGGCTCCTGAGAAGCAGAGTGTGGGGTATGACACACTGTTCTTTGATTTTTATACTCCTAGATTTTTTGGATAACTGTAAATGTGGCCCAACACAAAACTGTAAACTTACTTAAATATTATGAGATTTGTTTTTGTCTTATTTTATTAACTTTTTTGAGGATTTTTTTTAAAACTTTACTGCACAGTTCTGGAGCACTAACTTTATAGATGACATAATAGATGATTGTGTTCCAATGTTGTTGGACAACCCTGTATCTAGAATAAGAATTGAGGTAAGGAAGAGTCAGTGGGACCAGCGATGTATCTGCAGGTAATAGAAGCTCCCAGGGATGACATCAGATACAAGGCTCAGGCCTTGCCAGTTCTCTCACTGACATGAATTTTCTCTCTCTAGGCACACCATGTTCTGCCAGGGTCAAATATTTGATATAAACCCAAAGGGACTGAATTTCAGCTCTGTGAGTTGTAGCAAAGCCCTGCTAATCTCCCAGTGGAGTCTCCCTTTCCACACCAGCCCTTCCTAGCAACACACACACACACACACACACACACACACACACACACTCCTCTGAGCTACTTCTCACTCCTCATTTAAAGAGACCCTGAAATCGCACTGGTTGGAGGAGCACCAGTCACATGGCGCCCCTACCTGGCAAAGCCTGGCCCCACACAGACACAGACCCTCACCTCTAAGTGGTAGCACAATCACCAGAGCCAACCATCTTGATCTGAGTACTTCCTTTATTCCAAAGCAGAAGTCAAAGTGGCCAGTCTGTGTGTAAAGCTCTGCTGACTGGACTCTATATGTAAGCTATCCTGTCTCTAACCCCCCCCCCCCCCAC